GGGAGCTTGGGGGGCTGGCAGGGGGAGAGGCCATGCAGGGAAGTGATCAGGGGCCTCAGGGGGGCTGGCAGGAGGTGGAGACAGACAAGGCAGGGATTGGGGGGGCTGGGGGAGTGGGTGGGGCCAGCAGGGGCCCCCACTATGGTCCCCTCTCCCCCTCCAGCCCCCCCAACCTCTTAATGGCACTGGAGCTGTTGTGCTGAACACGCAGCCTGGCCAACCATGTGTTTCAGCACCAGGGCGAGGGGCCAATCACAGAGATGCTCTGATAGCCAGAGCATCTCCATGGGGGGCCCAGCCTCTGGTTGCCTGCTCCACTTTTTAAAACTTAGATCTTTTTAGACCCCTGGATATCCAGGGTTCTAATTTTCTCCCTGCGCTGCAAGTTTTTTTGTTCCCACACGTGCCTGTTGCCCCTTCTCAATGGGGTTTGAGATGGGGCAAGAGGCACGTATGCACTCGTCTGGATGCATCCCTTGTTACCCTTCACATCCCTTCCTAGCCGCAACTCCAATTGTGCTTTCGCCTTCCTGATTTCATCTCTGCTTGCCCGAGCAATACTCTTATACTCCTCCCTAGTTGTTTGTCCAAGTTTCCAGTTCTTATAAGTTTCTTTTATGTGATTTAGTTTACTGTAGAGTTCTCTGCTAAGTCAACCTGGTCTCTGCCACACTTGCTAGTCTTCCTGCACATCAGGATGGTTTGTTCCTGCACTTTCAGTAAGACTTCTTTAAATTGCAGCCAACTCTCTTGGACTCCTTTCTCCCTCAGCCTGGCTTCCCAGGGGATCCTGCCCATGAGTTCCCTGAGCAAGTTGAAATGTTTTTCTGAATTCCAGGGTCCTTTCCTGAGGTCAGATCATTTTTTACCATAAAATGATGTTCATATGTGTAGTGATCATCAGGTTCACTAAACACAGGCACACATGAATGAGAACATAAAAAAACCCAAGCTTTAATGGTGAATTTCTAGGCAAAATCTGAAGACATTTTTGTCTCTTTGGGCACTTTTACATGTGCTCCAGGGGTGGGGAGGGAAATATGTAATGATAACAAGTTGGAATAGCCTCCATATGGTATATAGACAGCTTTTATAACAAATTTACTAGCTGCTCCCTAACTTGGAGACCATCTCCCAATTCCCAGCTCCCTCAGTTATCTGTTAGGGGCCATCTCTAAATTTTAATCTCTGTCACTATATCTTTCCTTTCAACAATAACTACAAAACTCAATTAACACAAAAACAATTAACACCCATCAACAGAGGGGATGTTACGAACATGAAACTCTGAAGTGAGTATTTTGCACTCATTTGCCAATTCCCCCTTTTCTATATCTCCTTTAGAAAGTCTCTAAAGCTCCACATCGATGCCAACTTTGTGCCATCATAATTTTTTTTTTTTTTTTTATGGAGGCTCAAAAGCTGAGAAAAGAGACACCATAGCCCTTCATTGCATCACAAGGGTAATGTGGCAATGAACCTAGTAAAAAATGTTGTGGGGCAATAAATCTAGTAAAAAAAAAATATTAGGCCTTTTTGTAGTTAACAGTCTGGTGCAGGCAGGAACTCTTCCAGCCTCAGGAGACTGATCCTGGGGGAAAGTGCTCTGGGTGCCACACCCCAGCTTGGAGCTTTTCTCTGCACACTGATGTGGTGTGCCTTCTTTTTTTTTTTACTTCCGCACCCCTATAGGGTTCTCCCATCCACTTGCACACAGCACCCTGACCCAGGGTGCAGCAGTGAGACAGGCGCACTGGGCTCCTATTTGATTTCAGAAGTGCTATTGTTTTTAGTGCTACATGGAACACTGCTTCTTTCTTCTTCTTTTTTTTTTTTACCAATCTGTCACTTAAATTTTGGCATCTGTTCTTCTAGACATGGCACAAATCAACTACAGACCAGTGAGGCTGATTTTTCTCTTTCTGGGCAATAGTATTTGCATTTATGCCTGTAGGTACATTTTTTCTCATATAGAAAGGGATGCTTCTCTTGTTCTGGAGCAACTGATTTCTTCCTAAGAACACTGTCCAGATTTCATCTGTTATGGCCATAAGGAGGCAAGAATTTGGGGTCTTTTTGTACTGCCAGCTTAACTAGATTCAATTTTTCACAAGACCAAAAATTGGTGTGTAGCAGGGCACTAAGGTGCCTGCTACTGAGAGAGCAGGGAGGACTCCTCAGGTGCTGGTTGCTGAGGCAACTAGTGGGATACTGACCTACATCTGCCAAGCCAGCTGAAGGAAGGGGCAGGGCCTGGCTCCTATATAAAGCACAGGAAGGAGGCCAGAGGCAGTTCCCTACCAGCAGCCAAAGTAGAAGGAGCTCCCTGCCAGAAAGAGAAGCAAAGTGAAGCCTGAATGCCAGAGCAGCATTGGAACCCCGGTAGGCTTGAGCGTAGTTATAGCCAGGTGGCTTATGTTTGCATTGTAGCCAAGGGGCTTGTGTTTATATTACTGTTTGTTAGACCGGTGGTTTGGGAGAGGCTATTAGGGGATGGAGGAGGTCTCATAGGGGACTCGCAGTAGAGTGGGGACACCCAGTGCCAGTAAGGGTGCAGCACTTGGGGTGCATAGACCCCAGCCCAGAGAAGGGCAGCATTGCAGGGTGACCCCAGTGTGGGTGTGGTGAGCCCTGAGAAGGGCAGTGTTACTGAGAAGCCCCAGGGCAGGTGTGGTGAGCCCCAGAGAAGGGGGCATTACTGATGAGCCCCAGTGCAGGCATGGTGAGCCCAGAGAAGGGCGATGTAACTGAGAAGGCCCTGAGAGAAGGGTACGGAAAGAGAGTAAGACGGGACTTCAGAGAGCCTGAGTGCCAAAGAGTGTGAAGATGGAGAGAGGGACAGAACAATGTCCATTACATCTGCAAGGCTTGGGGCATGGTATTGGGGTGGTAGGAGCCACGCATAGCTCATAAGGCTTTGGAGTATGGAAAACACACTACCGTAGAAGAACTAGAGGTAACTGGACAACCATAGCCAAGAGGAAGGAAGGCAGCCTCCCTATAAAAATATATACAATCAAAGTCGTGGTGGGCGAGAATAGGAGGGTGCAAGATGACAGCTTGGCACAGTAAAGGAGGTGGCAGGGGAGAGCATGGCGACCCTGACATCCCTCCTGTCACATGGTGTTACCTCCTTAGGTAGTTTATATGCTCTGTTTTCATATGGGGCTCTGGCAATGCATCCCCCTCTCACTGATATACTTGTTCCTGTAATAACCAAGGTTTTTTGATGGTTGTTGGACTTACTTTTTCAAATTTTAATTTTCTACGTTCATTCTCTGGTAAAACATTAACCTGAGCGCATGTCCAGTTTAAATGAAACCATTGTTCTTTGCATTTCCACAGCCAAAATCCAGTCCTTCATATGGATTTTACTTGATTCTACCATCATCTGTATCTCTATCATCTATAAAAATCTTCTCTACTTCATCCTTAAATGGATGCTCTTTAGGTCTTTGTGTTTATGATCTGCAGCACATAATAAAATGGTTTCTCTTGGTGGAGTTAAAACAAGCTTTGTAAATGCAGCACAACATTTGGGGCCATGTTGCATTCCACACTTGCTGTATACCTGCCTGTTGGCTCTGTCTTCCTTAGCAATATCATTGCCAATGGAAAATTCCACCCTGTGAAGTGGCTTCTTACCAGTGGAAATGGCACACTGTGGGGTGGCTTTTTTTGGCCACGTTCTTTCATATCTACTACATGAATGACCCCTTTTGGTCTATTCAGCTTTCCATGCTAGACCATCATAGTTTCTGCTGCTCTGCTGTAATACAGCAGTCTGTCTTTATAAAATGGAAGATCCAGCCCTATTGAGAGAGTCTTCCATGTGGCTGCCTCACTCCACTTGTTCTCATTTTTCAAGTTCCTCAGTTTTCAAATTCTTTCAAGTTCTTTCTCATCTGTCATTGCTAACTCCATATAGGGTGTAGCATGACCCCTTAACCCTGGCTACTTGGATCATAGGAAGTCACCACCAAAGGGCTACAGTCAGGTAAACAGCTGAGCAAGGGCAAGCTGCAGAGAAGTAAGCAGCCAGGGGAACTGAAGTGCAGCAAGGGACTGCTTGGGAGCTAGCTACCTGGCCACAGGCAGAAAGGGCTTCCAGCAGGTAAAAGGGCAGTGACTCCAGCTCAGCGGCTTAAGTGGCAGCACTTGAAAGCAGAATGCTGCAGTCCAAAGATTGGTCCCTGACATCCACTGAAGGCTGAACTCTTGCTAGCTCAGACTGCTGGAGCAGGGAAACCCAGCAACACAGGTACCTGGGGAAGCTGCAAGGAGCCAGCAGCTAGAGGATAGGGTTTGCAGAGACCCAGTGAAGCCTAAGAGGAGATCTTGGTTTGAGAAATAGCTGGTAAAGTACTGCAGGTTTAAGTTGTGGCTATGATGTAGTTTGTAGGGCACAAGTTGGTGCTTGATGGGCACTCAGTGCCTATATATTGGCCAGGCCAAGACCCAGGGAGCTGGAGTAGTCCAGACAAGGCCAGGACTTGGTGATCAGAGAGCCACTTTGCCAGAGTCAGAGGCTTGTGGGGCTGGAGCTGTCCTGCCATGGCTGGAGGCCCGGAGGACTGAGTGACTAGAGAGACAGCAATCTCAACAGAGTCAGGGACCCAGCAAGTTGAAACAGCCTTGACAGGCCCAGAGGACTGGAGGATTGGGCGACAGAAAGTGAAGGCAGCTCCAGAGGGCCCAACAGTGAATACAACCAAAGTACTATCTCCAAGGCATGAGTGTAGTTATGGGGGGTGACTGGAGGTCACAATTATAAACTTTAAGGCAATTAGCACCATAGGGTCATGATTGGGGTTGATGGGTCCAGGAGCCAGTATCCAGAGTGGTAGGTCAGAGCCCTGAATCAAAGGAGACATTTTATGCCAAGACGGAGAGAGAGAAGGAGTCCTTCTCAGAACAGAAAGCTGAGCCCAAGGAGAAGCACGAAGCACTGCCTGAGGGCAGTCCCCACAATTGAATTTTACCAACAAGGTATGGCAGGAGAGACAGCAGGGTGATATCCTGAGAGGCTATAGTGGGCAAGTATGGCAGGATTAAGACAGTCACTAGGGGGCATCAGGACTGCTCTCAGGGCTAGTTGTGTCACATAGGTATAATTGGGTTCAAAATACAGGCATCGATAAATGAAAAGGCCTAAACATCAAACTTTAATGGTAGAGCCCTAGGCAACCTCTACAGATCTTTTGTTTCTAACTAGCTGCTCCCTAATTGAGGGATCATCACCCAATTGCTAACTTCCTCAGTCTCGTCTTAAGGAGCATCTCTAAATTATTACTTCAATCACTACACATTTTCCATCTAGTTGGCTTTGCAGGCTCAAAGGGGAATAAGTCAGTATGCATAATGGTAGGGGTTAAACTAGGATGCAATTCAAATCTAAAATGTAATAGATCTTGTTTCAGACAAAGTTTTTGTCCATTGGCATTCAAAGACATGATATGCTAATGACCAAATTTTTAACTTGATTCATGGAAAACTATGTATAGCAGCTATTAATAGTCAAGAGAAACATGTCTAATTCTCTATGTTGAGAATGATGCAAAAGAGCTGTTAGACAATCCAGATGAATGAGAAAGTGTGGTGTTAAAAGGCTAATTTCACATTTTCTCTTTCCCCTAGTATTTCATTCACACACACTTTTAATATTCTTGTTGCCTAAATTGTATATTAATGTTTTGGTCTCTGTAGCTGAAAGGCATAATTCCAATAATGAGGGGAAGTAAACAGAATGTTTGATGAAGTAGCTCAGCCACAGAACAACAAGCAGACTGTTTCATCAACTATGTTTTAACAACTGGTCTATAAAGCTGCAGCAATTTTGTCATCTCCTCACCAAGAAATGTATCTTTTTTTTTTTTTTTCATTGCAACATGCTATAGTATCAAAAGCGTCAAATCAACCAGAATGCTGTGAAAATATAATGTACAGCTGGAATAGAAAGTAAGTTAAGAGGAAAGCACAAAAACGTGATGTTTCTAGAATTATTTCACACAGTGATTCCATTTTTCCCCTTCAACAAGAAGTCCAGCATACCTACTAAATCACATGGAAACAGCCAGAATCAGCACTTACCACTAGGTAAGTGATACAATCTTCTAACTAAATTCTTTATTTTGTTTCTTACCTCTCCAGTATTTCACACTAAAAGGAAAACTAAACTGAAAGTCTTCGTGTTACGTACCTGAGTCTTTAGAAGATATTTTTATCCCCAGAATCTGCCTCCCCCCTGAGTCTAAGGATAGCACTGACTATTCAAAGTGAAGGGAGGAAATTAGGAAACTATTTTTTAAAGGGATTGGGATAGTCCATGAAGCGCTGCATATTTATCATTTGTAATATTTCCTTCCTGGATGTGGAGAAGGTTGTTTGATAATTTGAAGAATCCAATTAAATTAATTAGACATTCTCTGTGATTTTTAAGGCAAAAAAATTGAACAAGTTTAAGTAGTAACAAGCCATTGAGATGAATTTCAAGTCAAGGAAGGAGAGGGTTTACAAATCTAAAAAGTGAGAAATGAGTAAGGGTTCCTTTAAGTCAAAACTTAAACATTCTCTTTCCATTTCCTTTCATATCTGTTTCATTGTAATATATATTTTTGTTCTTACCAATAACATCTCTCTATTCTGGCCTTTAACTAAAATAGCTAACTATAATCTGTTGTGATCTAATATATGTATGGCCTGTTCAGTATAGTCCATGGTCACTATAAAATTCAATTTTTGCTTATTGTATAGGAATGCAGGCTGGATATTTAATGTTCAGTGACACAGTGTGAGATGAACAAGATCAAGCAAAGTAAAAAAGAATATAACAGATGCCAATACATAGAAACATATGGCCGTGTTAGTTTTCACTGATATCTAGGACATTTTAAGAGTGAAAGGGAGCTAGCTGGAAAATAGTCTCATTCTGTTAATTGTCCTTTGTTTAGTTCACTAATTGCTTACTATGTTCCCCAAGTTCAGATAGTTTAGGTCATAACTGAGCAGCTGCATAATTTCCTATTTTGCTGTATATACATCCAATATGCATGTATATTTAAGAAAATTCTCCAGGAAGTGTTTCTTTCACTGACCTGGCCCCTTCATTCTGGTAGTTATCCGTACACACATTCCACACTGGGGTGGGCCCAGCCTCTGAGACTTTTGACCAGAGACTTTTTTACCACAGCAGAACAATTTGATTCTGATTCAAAAGCGGGGAAAAAAGGACATCAAAGGCAACTGGTAATAGACTTAATGGCCAGGTACAGATATTGCACTTTTACTAGTATAAGTGATTGGAAACTGGTTTATACTTGTAACAGAACAGCACACACAGACTAACTTAAAAATGGTGGAGCCCACTATAAGTTTCACCCCCTACCAAAAGACAAACATGTATTCTGTTCAGTACTGATGTACTATGCCCCTTATAGAAAACTGCCTAACTTAGATTGATTCCATACTTTTTTTTAGTGCCTGTATTTAGCCAAGAAGCCTTAGTGGTGTCTTCCACAAGTTTAAAATGGCCATAGGAGCAACCATTATTCTATCACTGTGACAGCCAGTCTGGCTAACATCTCTCAACCAGCAGGATGCTTACTTTTTGTCACCCACACTTAACAGGTCAGACCTACATTTTATTAGGATGCATGACTAACTGGTATTGGGGCCTCCCTTTTGGTCTATTTACTGTTCCATGCATCTCCACCAGGTGTCCTTATGGTAGTGGCTGTGCATATAATGAAAGATTGCAACCCCAAGGTTCCTTACTTGAACAACTACTTGATTAAAAAACCCCCACAGATAAAAGATGTATTCACCAGCTTCTAAACATGAAAGGCATCTTCCATTCATTGAGTTTCATGGTACATTATCAAAACTCAATCCAAACTGTATTTTGTTTCCTGGACTGCACAGGGACCAAGGTGCATTTCCCATACAAGCGACTCTCCTATGCAAGCCATCAGGAGACTGATCCTTGTGCTAGAAGAGCACCCAAGAACTTGAGTACAGTTGGACTTCTTCCTCCTCAGGCATAGGGCATCTTGAATCTTCAGGTCACTACATACAAGACTACCATGCAAAGGATTGCAGACTAGGCTATAACTTAACTACCTCCTGGGAAGGACAGTTTGGGATGAAAATAATGGATCTTGATAGGGTCCAAGTATCATTGCCCTTGGATGGGACCAAAAAAATATCAGCCTTGTCCACCTCACTGGTGGCAGCCACCTTGTAAAATGATTGGGGAGTACATACTGATAATCTGCAGGTCCATGGCATATAATCATCTCAGGAAATATCTCATAAAAGTGCACCAGGATACCATGCATCTTGGTGGCCAGTTTTGTGGCCTCTGACCTCCCCTACAGCCACATTCATGCCTCACAGGTGTTACCTGCTGATTGTTGAGATGGGCCCCTGGCCCCAGTCCAAGGTCTGGACCTTTCAGCTCTCTGTGTTGTTAAGAGTCTTAGCAGGGTCTCAGTCTCAGTCTATACAGCCCTTTCATGGCCCTAGGTTTCACCTTTCTTGGGCCCCAGATATCCCTTTTCAGGTCCAGTATTCACCCCTCCAGGGATCTCAAAGTCTCCAAATGCTCTCATGCTCACAGGCATCCAAATGGGACCTCCTTACTCACCTGCTAGTCCTGGCTCAAACCACTAGTCTACACTATAAACAAAAGTATAAGCCTGCTGGCTGTGACACAAATTGCCCCATACTATGTCTGAACATAAATATCTTTGGTGGTGCAACCAAACCTGCCCCTATGCTGGTCATCTGGCCACTGGGGGCTTGGAGAAGTGGTGGCAGTGTGGGTATGGGGAAAGCCCTCTTCAGGGAAGGCAGGGTCAGGTGATACTGAGAAGCAGCTTTTCCAACAGGGCTGTCCTCCACTATGTGACCCAGGACAAAGTGGGAGGAAGTATAAACAAACTATGCTGTCCTGGGAAGTTGTAGGGCACAGGTCTGGCTAGGGCAAGGAGGGCCACAGGGACACTTGTTGAGGGCTCCTTGGAGCTCATCTCAGCACAGGTGGTGGCTGAGCAAGAGGGCTCCCAGATGCCTGCAATAGACTGGTCCTGGTAAGAAGGCAGGGGAGGACCTACTCATATCTGAATGGCATATGTGCAGAGAAGGGCACAGGAGAGCATGGTGGTGCCATGTCACTCGGTTTCAAGGAGGCAGGGCATGGTGGCGGTAGTTTGCAGATGATCAATCTCAGTGCTGCCACCATTTCTTCCTTCCCCCACACCTCCAGCTGCAGTGTGTGCACAGCTTCCAGCTTCTGGGGATCTTTGCCAGGACTGAATGTCTGCAAACTGCCATTGCCACAGCTTGTCTGTGCCCCAGGAACACAGCTGTGCCATGCTCTGCTGCACCCTGCTCTGCGTCCTGCTCTGCACATACATGGTGCCTACCAGCTTAAAATATATTTAGAAGAAAAAAGTAAAGTATCATTGTCACACAATTCTACCACCCTTGTGGCACACTAGTGTCCTGCAGCACACCCTTTGGGAATTACTGGTTTACTGTGTACTTTCCTTCTCAATTCCATTAACTCTGTGAATCACCACAAAGATACAGTAGAACTGAACACAAGTCAACCTGATCACATTAGCCTGGTCCAGGCAAGACCTCCTATGCTTATCAGTACAGGATTCCTGTTTTTCTGCTTCCTTGCTCTCTTAAGGCAGTATTAGGGTACACCACCTGTACCCATGCTTGCTTCAATTTACTTGTCAAATGCTGGTGGATGGCTTTTGCAGCTAGAGTGTATTTTTGCACTCCTGTTATGAATGTCTTGATCAGAGGTGGGCAATATATGGCCTGCAGGCTAGATACAGCCTGCCAAGTATTCTATCTGGTCCATGGTGGGTCCCTTGGCCCTGCTCAGCTCAGGTGTGAGGGGCAGCCTAGGCTGTGGTACCTTCAGTCAGTCCTGCTGTCCCTAGGTACAGAGGTGCCACCTGTCATTGTTCATGGCTTTTGGGCATGCTGGTAGCTGTAGTCCACAGAGTTGGATGGCATGGTGGCAGGGAGGAAGGGGGGACAGGCAGTGTGGCGGCTGGATTTGACTTCCTGGTTGCCCCCATGGTGACAGCTTGGTGTGCCTTCAAATTTCTGGCTGCCACTGTCAGTGTCTCTGCTGCTGCTTCTGGGCCCAGCCCATCCACCCCACAGCTACCACTGGGGGCTAACCTGATGGAGTGGCAGACAGGGTCTCTATGGAGACTGACCCAGACCCCTGTGGGCAGGGAATGCTCAGATGGGATGGGGCTGTGGGTGGGCAAAGAGCAGTGCCCAGGAATGAGATGGGTGGGTGGGCCTGAAGTCAGGGCTAGGGCCATGATTGTGAGGCAGTGACAACACAGGACCAGAGAAGCAATCCACTCCCCACCCATCCCTGTGATGGGTTCTGATTCCTAGGGCATGGGGCTGGCTGCAGCCTGCAGAACTGATGACTGTTACAGGAACATATGGGGAGTGGATCACATCTCTTCCCTGGGTCCTCAGCCTCCCAAACTTGCAGTGCAGGGAGAATATTAGACCCCTGGATATCCAGGGGTCTAAAAAAAGTGAAGTATAAAAAAGCAGGGCAGGGCATGGTCCCCGACTGTGCTCTGAGGCAACCGGAGGCTGGGTCCTCCAAACAGATGCTCTGGCTGCCACAGCATCTCTATGGTTGCTCCTAGCCCTGGTGCTGAAATACGCAGTCGGCTAGAAAAAAAGCAGAAGCTTTTATTTCCCATTTTTTTTTTCTGTTCTTTTTCTGGTGTTTTTTCTTTTTAAGTGACTGTGCCTGAGGTTGTGGGGGTAGTCTTGTGGGCCTAGGGGTTCAAGTTGGGGGGTGAAGCTGGGTGGGGAAGCCATTGGGGGGCCTGGGGGGGTGGGCCTGGGTGGGGCAGCCCAG